GCCCGAAGGACCCCGCCGGCCGCGGGCTGGCTAGCGCAGTGCCGGCGTCCGGGCGTCTGGCGTCCGGGCGGTGTTGCTGTGGGGCTGCCGCAAGGCGGGAGTCTGAGGGGCTGGGGGGCCTGTGCTTCCAATTGAGTCCGGGTTCACGCGGCCGCGGGCCTCGGGCGTGGGAGGCTGGGATGCAGGAGGCGGGCAGGTCCCCAAGTGAGGGCGCCAGGTCTGCTGCGGGAGTTGGGGCGCCCGTAGAAAAGGGAGCGGGGCGTCACGTGTGCGAGCCTGGCGACTTCTAAACTCTGTAATTCTCTGATGGGGGGGATTGAGCATCTACCTGTCGACATTTGTTTTAACCAAGCATCGCGACAGCCACGACTGAGCCCGGAGTAGCAGGGCACTTAGTCCTCCCTCTGCACAGCGCGTCCGCGGACCTCTGGCTCAGAGGCGTTCACTGATCAGTCACGGGTACCTGTGGAGAGCAGGTGTGTGCCAGGCTGGCCGTCCTTCCTCGGGACTGAGGCGACAGCCGCGAGGAAATCAGAGCTGCCTTCTTATAGCTAACCTTCCAGAGGGGCTGTCAGGTGTCAATCGAACGGCTGCACTAACAGTTACAGGGGAGTCCTCTGAGGAGAACGCGCAAGGAGCAGGGGGAAATGGGCCGGGCCTGGGAAGTCCGGCGGCTAAGTAGGCGCCACCCGGCGGAGAGCGCCGTCTGGCAAGTCTCGTGGAACGGAAAGGCCCATGAGGCTGGAGCAGAACAAAGCTGAGGAGAGAGGGGTTTCCGGTGGCCCTTGAAAGACACCAGGGCATGCAAGACCTGGCAGGCCCTGGCGGGGGTGGCGCTGTGTGTGTGTGTGTGTCAGGGGGTTGCTTTCTATCCTGAGAGCAAAGTGCTCCGTGAAGGGTTGGGGGAGGGGAGGTCCTATGACCAGATTTGCATTTTTATATCCTGGGAAGAGGCTACTGCATAAGTGCGGAACTAGGGTGTTGTTAGTGAGAAGCGGGAACTGTAGACTTGAGACATCTTTGGGAGGTAAAATTGCCAGGAGTTGGGGTCAGCTTGGACGGCCCAGAAGTGGTCTGTCGGGGTGCACGCTCCACGCAAGCCTGAGAAGTGTATTCGCTGTGGGTGGGTGAAGCCGTCTACAGGTGTCCATCAAGTCCAGTGGATCTGACCTGCTGTCGGGTACACGACGTCCGCGCCCATTCTCTGCCCGCTGGATCTGACCGCTTCTGACGAGGGTGTGGATTCATCTGCTTCTCCGCGCAGGTCCGTCGGTTGTTGCCTCACGTTTTCTCACGTTCTGTTTAGGTGCTCGCATACTGAGGGTTGTTCGTTGTGTCTTTTTGGATAATTGACCCATTTTTTGGTACGTGATGTTCCCGCGTAGCTTTCCTCGCTCTGAAGTCTGCCGTCCGCCGTTCATACGGCTACTCCGGCTTTCTCTGGACTGTGAGCGTGGCGTGTCTTTCTCCGTCCTTCACTCTTGACCCACGTGTGCTTTACACTTCGAGCGGGTTTCTTGTCGACCGCACGCAGTGGGGTCTCGCGTCTGACCCAATTCTCTGTTGGTGTCAGATGCTGACGTTCCGGGGGCCCCGGCCGTGCCGTGTGCGCTGCCCCCGTCGCGCGCACGCGCCTGCTGCCCTCTGTGGCCTCGGCGCAGCGCTCCGCACGACTTCCCGTCGTGCCCTTTCTCAGCGCCCCAGCCGCATGCGCTGCGCTTCAGGGGCGCCCTGCGGCGTGGAACGCGCGCTCAGCCACCCCGCTCCACTTGGAAATGCCACTTCCCGGCACCGTGAATGCCACGCGAAGGTGCTCCCGCCGCGCCCTCTCCCGCCCGTGCCGTCGCCGGTTCACTCACCCGTAAGCTGCAGTCCCTGGACATGTCGTTGCTGTTATTTTTAATAATAACCATTAAGTTATCATGTCACATCGATTCATCTCTTACAAGGCAGGTGTGCTGGCAGAAATCCCCTCCGTTTCGTTTTTGTTTTTGCCCGAGAAAGTGTTTCTCTGTCGCTTCTGGGGAGAGCCTCCGGATGCGGGACTGCCGGCTGGCTTCTCCCTCCTGTCGCTGCTCGGGGAGGACGCGGGCACCTGTCTGCCCCTCTGTGGGGAAGCTGCGTTTTGCCTCTGGCTTCTTTCAAAATTTTCCCCTTACGTTAGATTTTTTTGCAGTCTGAACATGATAAGCCAATGTGTGCTTTTTTTTGTGGACACATTTGTCCTGCCTCGTGTTCTCTGAGCTTCCTGGATCTGTGGTTTGGTGTCTGACGTTAATTTGGGGAAAATGTCTTTTTCTGGTATCTCCATCATGTGCGTGTCACACCTCTTGTGGTCATCTCACAGTTCTGGGATATTCTGTCCTGGCTACTTCAGGCCTTTCTCTCTCCGCTGTTCAGGCTCGGAAGTTCCTAGTCATCCCTCTAGCTCAGAGTCTTTGTCTTCGGTGTCCAGTCTATCAGTGAGAGCTCAGTGAAGGCTCCATTTCGTCTGTCTCTAGCTTTGGCTTCTGGTCCCTTAGGATTTCATCTCTCCGCTCACATTGTCCATCTTGCATGTTGTCTGTGTTTCTCATTAAAGCCTTTAGCATATTAATTAAAGTTGCTTTAAATTCCTTGTCTGATAATTCTAAAATTCTTGCCATTTCTGAGGCTGGTTCTGATGCCGGCTCTGCCTCTTCAAATTGTGCGCTGTGCCTTGTCATCTTTCCTGATAGCCGGACGTGGAGTACCAGGCGGAAGGAGCCGCAGTGACTAACCCTGGTGATGTGGCATCAAGCGTGGGGCGGGGGGGCTCCGTGGTCCCGCCACCCCGCTGTCTTCAGCGAGCCCACGCCCTGCTCCCTGACTCCACGCATGCTTCTCTGTTCTCTTCTCCCCCTTCGCTGGGACGGGTGGCTGGACGGGCTGTAGCTGGGGGTTCTCCTTCCTGGGCGGGGCCGGGGCCTCCGATGATTCCCCAGAGGGATGGGTTCTGGCCAATGCTCTCTCCTAAGGACACAGGGCTTTGGGCACTTAAAAAGGCTGCTCTTCCCCCAGAGGGGCTCCCCTCTGATGCTCCCCACGGGAACCTGGTCGTGCTCCCCAAGGTGAGTGTCACGGTACTGCGGGCCCCCTGGAGTTTTTAACTCTCAGACTTGTCCACTCTGAGCCTCCAGGAATTGTCAGAGTCGGGTGTTCCTGCCCTGGCTCTGGTTCCTGCAGAGGTTCCTACTCGTGGGCTTCTGGCCCTGTCCCTCGTGTTCCCCTCTACCCTCCTGTCGGTGTCTCCAGCTTTGGGGGCAGAGCTTTGCCCTGTGACCTCAATTCTCTGATGGGTCTGTGAAGACTCGGTGGTCTCAGTTTGTTCAGCTTATTATTCATTAAGGTGGAGCTGCGACTTCGGACCCCCTCACACTGGCCCGGATGCTGGCCACCGTGTTCACAGCCAGGCATTCCTCACCTTGGTCCAGCGTCTTTTGCCACTGAGGCCTAGTGCCCCCACCTTCCCCAAAGTAGGTGACTTAATTTTGTTTGCTATTCTTGAAAGTTAGAACCTGTGTCAGGTCTGAAGAAATGGGCTCAGAGCCCTCACGCATGACCGCGGACTCCTGGGGCTCCTGCCTGGTTGTGGCCACGGGCCCAGCAGCCTCTGAAGTCCATCTTCCTTGCACATCAGCAGTGGCCCTTGGCCTCCTGTGGGGGCAACCTGGGCACTTAGCCAGGGCAGGGGGCACTGAGGATGGCAGCGACCTCTGCTCGTGCCCGCTCGTGGCATGCCTGAATCCAGACATGGCGCCTCTCGTGGCGGCCAGTCGAGCCTGTGCCTCATCCTGTTATCCACAGGGATGCCCTGTGGCCCCAGCTTTGATTCGAGAGTTGGGCCTCCAGATACCTACTGCATCCCCGGTGTCTCACAGAGGCAGGTGTGGTGTCGGCGGGCTGGCTCCGTGTTGGGGCAGAGATCCAGGTCCCTGGTGGGCTTTCTTCCCATTTGTGTTTCTGGCCCTGTGGCCTTCACAGCTGGCATGGCCTTTGCCTCAGGACTGAGGGAGCAGGCAGTCATAGAGGCCCACCTTGCCAAGGGGTCTGAACTGGACTGCGAATGCCTCTCTTCTCCACCCTGCTTGCAGAGTGAGAACATTTTTTCTGTCCAGCCTTTTTTACAAACTGCCTTCAGCGTTGTGAGGTTGTAGCCTTCTCTGATGCCCGCGAGCGGTGCTGGCATGAACGGGAAGAGCTGCAGCCAGCTCTGGCCCTGGGCACTGTAGCCCAGAGGAGGCTCATCTCTGTGCGGCCATAACAAGAGGTCCAGGACCAGCCCAGTGCAGGCCTGTCACGCTGTGAGGACCCAATTCTCCAGCGCATTCTCCTGGGACCAGGGAAGCTGGGATGGTGGTGCTGCCCTCAGACTGCTGACACTCAGGGCTGGGGGATTGTTTGCGGAGGGGATTGTCCCGTGCATTGTGGGACGTTTAACAGCATCTCTGGTGGTCTCTGTGTACTAGATGACAGTCATCTCCTAGAATTGCCTCCAGGCGTTGCCACGTTCCCAGGGAGGGGGCAGAATTTCCCCCGGTTGAGACCCAGCGGCGTAGGGAAAACGTCTAGGAGTCTCAGAGGATCTTCGCACATCTGAATCTACAAACGTGCCTGAACACACACCCCCTCACCCACTCCTGCCACCCCTGTGAAGGGACCTGCTTCTCAGTCACGTGTACCCCGGGTCCCACCTCCCTTCTTTGGAGCTTGCTTTTTGGTTGTCTTGTCTCTAATGCATCCCGACTTCTTCCCTGAGTTCCTCCCCCTTGAATTTAAACCTGTTGTGGTGTCTCCCATCTTTTAAATGCTTTTGGCCCCCCTTTCCCTGCCAGCTGCCTCTTTTCCTGTCTTTTCAGCCGAGCCTCTGTCTCTGCACGTTCACACCCATTCATTCACAGCCCGCTCCAGCCTGCCTTGAATGCTCACCACCCAGAGAAACTGCACTTGCAGGGACCTCTCTGGCACCAGATTTCGTGGGTCCTTTCCAGCCTTGGTGATACCAGATTCTGAGCAGCATCTGCCTCTTTCGATGCAATATTCTCTGGGTTTCCTTCTTGCTTTTCTGGCTGTCTCTTATTAGCTTTACAAATGTTTGCTTTTGTGTCTTCTATGTTCAAGGTGTGAAGATGATTGCTCAAAGATTCAGATATGATTAAGACATGGTTTGGGCCCCCAAATTGCTTACGAAGTAGGGGAGATAGGCAGAAATGGATAAATGTGTGACCGAGGTGCAGAGCCCTGGGAGAACAGAGGAGATGAGCCTCACTGGCTGGGAAGGGACAGTGGGGATGATAGATGGGATGGGAGGCTTCACAGAGGAGGTGGCTTTGGAACTAAGCCTCAAGGCTTAATGTTAATTAGGGTAGTGAGGTCAAGGGATGGTCCTGAGCTGTCACCTCCCAGTGTGGAGGATTAGAAATTTTGTTCATTTTCAGGTGTCTGTGGGGCCCTTAGTCCTGTGTCTGAAATGACCAGACAGAGACTTATAAAATACTGTGCTTAGTCAAGGGAATAAAAAACATGACCGAAAGTTTAGAACAATAGAAAACTAAAAAATAACTAAATGGAAGTTTTAGAGCTGAAGAATCTATAATTGAAATACACAATAACTGCAAATGAAATCGTGGATGGGTTTAACATCAGCTTAGACCTCACCGCAGAATTAATAAAATGCTAGAAGAATATATCCAGAATGAAGCATGGAGAGACAAAGCGGTCAGGAGTGCAGAAGATTATACATCATGAGAAAGAGGAGTTCTGACATGCATTTAATTTGCCCAATAAAGTGGGAGAAAAAGCAACACTTGACGAGAATAATGTGATCTCCGTGCCAAACGACCTACAAGCTCTGTGATCCCAAGAAGAAGAAGAGGACAGAACACACACAATCATAATGAATCTGAACAAAACAAATGAGAAGATGTTAGTGAAAGAAAAAGACAATTTATCATTAAATGAGCCAAACCAATAATGACAGCTGCCTTGTTGGTATAAATAATGAAAGACGATACCATGAAATACTATCTTTGAAGTGCTGAAAAATAGTACAGAATTCTTTGAAGCAATGTGTGGAACCCTGAAGATGGAAACCCTCTTACGGCCTAGTGCCAGTAGCTCCGGAGATTAGAATGCAGTCAATACAGTGTGGCTGTGCCGGGTTACGCAGTGGCAAGTGAGAGCTGGGGTCAGGTTCAGCGGAGAGAGTTGCGTCAGGGTTATGTCAGGACTGGATTTAGGGTGGGCTTAATGAATCAGTTACTCTAGCGATGTTCGGGACGAGGCGTAGGTTTAGTTTCAGAGGTTAGATGACAGTTTAGGAGTGAGCGAAGGGGTGAGGGTTTGGCGTTTGTGGTTGGAGGGGTGGGATGGTGTGAGTGATGGGTTAGTTTAAGGTTAAGTTTGAGAGAGGGTATGAGCTTAGGGTGAATGTAGGACTCGGAGCCAGGGAAGAGGGGTAGGAATAGAGTTAGGGTTGGGGTTTAGGGGGTTAGGGTAAGGGGCAGGGGCAGGGTCAGAATGCAGGGGCAGGGGCAGGGTCAGGGCCGTGTGAGGACAGGAGGAGGAGTGAGCAGAAGTGAGGAGAGGCGCACAAAGGCATGGAGGGCTCACGTCGGTGCCCATCAACGGGGCGGCCTCGGCCCTCAGGAGGGGCTGGGCGTGGGCAGTGGGATCTGAACATCACGTCAATATTACATGTGTACGCCCAGTCACCACACACCGAGACGCGGGGGGCTCTGCAAGGCCTCCGAGGCCGCAGACCCTGGCCAGGCAGGGCCTCAGGGCTGTGCCTGCACATTTGACATCATGGTGGACGCGCTCGTTCCCACGACTTTATGCTCCAGTGATTTCTGATGTACACGGCACCTGCGGTAGCCACGCAGAGGGCCCCACTTGGTTCCCAGGTGTCCTTGCTTGACACATCTGCCACCTCACACCAAGCGCTGCTGGACGGTGTACCCCACACAGGGTCGCTTCTGAAGAACGGCCACAGAGCCGCACATGAGGGCACCAGTATACGCTCAGGGTCACACCACCCCGACTGTGCGAAGCGCCCTCTTTCAGGTGGAGCCCAGCTTCCTGGAGCTGTCCCCGAGAGTGGCCCTCCTCACACCTCGATGGCTGCAAAGGGCACAGGTGCCTCCGGCCTGGGACTGCCAACCGTCTCTGTCCAGACTCGGCCCCCATCTGGCAGGAACATCCAGCCCGATGCTGCCCTCCTCCAGTGCAGCCCCCGAGGGGGTGTTCAGTGCACTTAGTGTGCGGCCACCTCCTCCGCCTCATTCCAGAACATTCCATCACCCCGCAGGAAACCCAGCACAACTTGGCCGACACTCCCCGTCCTTCCCTCTACCCTGGCAACCCCTTACCCTCTGTTCGTCTCAGTGGATTTGCCCATTTTGGACATTTTATACACATGGAATAATATGCCGTGTGTCCTTTTGTGACTGGCTTCTCACTGGGCAGCATGTTTTCAAGATTCGTCCAGCTTCTGGCTTTGGCAGTGCTTGGTTCCTTTATATGGCTGAATAATAATCTAGTGTGTGCAGGGACCACATTTGTTCATCCATCCGTTAATGGGCACTTGGGTGGCTTCCACCTTTGGCTGTTGTGATAGTGCAGCTATGAACATGGGTGTGCAAATACCTGTTTGAGTCCCTGCTTTCAATTTTTTGGGGTGTACACCAGAAGTGGGATCGCTGGGTTATGCGGTAATTTTATATTTAATTTTTGATAAACCACCATCTTTTCTACAGCAGCTGCACCATTTAACATGTATCTTTTTTCTGACTGAATGCGATTGCATTTCATAGATATACTACATTTCGTTTATAAACTCATCTGGATGGACATTTAGGTTGTTTCCAGCTCTTTGCTCTTGTGAATAATGCAGCTACAAATATTCATGTTGAAATTTTTATTTGAACACCTGTTTTAAATTGGGGTGGGTATATAACTCAGAGTGTATTGACTTAAAAGGTAGCTTGTTTTTAACTTTTCGAAGACACAAAACTATTTTACACAGAAGCTGCAATATTTTACATTCCTACACACAAAGTAAGAGGGTTCTAACTTCTCCACATACTGGTCAAAACTTATCTTCAATTTCTTAATTATAGCCACCCTAGTGTGTATGGGAACAGATATTTCATTCTTGTTCTTCTCTTCATTTCAATAAGGATTAGTAATGTTGGATCCTTTCAGGTGATTGTTGTCATTTGTGTGTCTTCTTTGGATAAGTGTCTATTCAAGCCCTTTAGTCATTTTAAAATTGGATTGTGTGGAGTTATTTTTTGTTACTAAGTTTTAAAAATACTTTTTTGTTACTAAGTTTTAAAAATACTTTATATATTAGGACTAAAGTTAGGGGATAGAGGCTAGGAGTTAGGAGTTAGATCAGGGTTAGAGGGTCAGGGTCAAAGTTTAGAGTTGAAGGGTCAGTGTCAAGAGTCTAGGAGTCCAGGGTTAGGGTTACTAGGGCTTGAGGTTAGAGGGTACGGGGTGAGTGTAGAGGTAGGGGGTTAGGATTTGAAGGCTAAGGTTAGGGTTAGGGTAAAGCATCACTGGCTCAATTTCCCCTCTCCCTTCTTTATCTCTGAGGCATTTAGGATAGACAGGACTTCCTCAGGGGTGGAGCTGGACCATTGGATGTCTGCCCCCAAGTCCTAGACTCTGGTAGTAGAGAATGAAGTGTCTGCTCTGGTCACTGTTTCAAATACAACTCAGCCTCAGTCTCAGGTCGTGGAGGCCATCAGAGGTCAGCAGGGTTTCCTCCTACCTGGGCAGCCCCAGGCTTCAGCTCAGCCCTGACACACGAGGGCACCCAGTGGACATGTGCAGGTTTATATAGGACTCAGCGCAATGACCTGCCAGCCTCCAGATGTAGCCTTCCTGAGGGCTGGAAGGCCTTCCTAGGACAGGGTGGACCCTTCCTCCCATCCCAGTGGGCAGCAGTGGACAATCAGGTCTCAGACGGGACAGCCCTTGGCTTCTGACTGAGCAGGCAGGCATCTGCGGTCCAACCTGGGCTGTGTGAAGCACCCCTGGCCAATTACAGAGCTGACCGTGCTGCCTACCGGGCATTTGAACAGCCACATGGGCAGCCCGGGCAGCCCCTTGGCATGTTTCAATTCCCAATATTCATGTGGGTGAGACAAGCGCCTCCTCCCTCACAGCCTCAGCCTCCAAAACGGGTGAGAACCCTGCGGACAGCAAATGTGGCCCCGGCCAGAACTATATGGCAGACCATGGCCCTCGGCCTTCCGGCTGTAACAAACCTCTGCCATTCGTACTCACTGGAATCAAAGATATGGGGACAACTGTATCTCCCTCTACAGGAGGTTTCACACTGAGGCTGCATGGACTCAGAGAGCCACGTGCATCCACGGCCATGCCCCCACAGCCTCCGGAAAGCCGCCGGCTGTGGATTCCGTGGTCCAGACTGATTCCTGATCCTCCCACGGCTTCACTGAGTGAGGGTCTCCTCACTTCCCTGGCCTGAGTCTCTGCTCTCTGTAAAGGAGGGAGATGGTTGATTGATGTGGCTGGGGGGTGCAGTTGTGACTCCTGGGCTGCCACCTCCCAGGGACATGGATGAGGCCAGTGTGTCTCCCAAGGGCACAAGGGCTCTTCTGGGCCCGTTTGAGATGCAAGGACCCAAAGCCCAAGGCGGGAACCTCGAGCCTGCCAGCAGCAGCAGTAGCAGCATCGTTTTCTGAGCAAGCAGAAGAGCCTCTTGCCATTGCGGGAGGACAGCAAGAACACTGGACAGGAGCTACAGCCCTGACCCTGTGGGCCCCTTCTTTCCATGCAGTCCCCTGTCCTCCTGGCCCAGCATCTGTTCTCATTCCCAAGACCAGCACCTCAGCTTCCTTTGGGAACTCATCCCCCCAGCTTTCAGCTCAGAAAGTTCCAGAGGGCCAGCCCCACGTCTAGCCAACCCAACATTCTATCTCCTGGGGGATCCGATGGGCTCAGGGATGAGAAGCCAGGCCAAAGGCATTGAAAGCTGTGACTTTCCATGGAACTCGGGGGGAGGGTGGAATGGATAGTGAGTGGAAGTCAGCCGGGAGTGGCCGGAGGCCCCAATATAGTGAGACAGACTGTACCTCTGAAGGGGGCCACAGAAAGGCACTTAGGATGGAGGGCTGGAGAGGGACCAAGTCCCACTGCAACCGTGTGAGAGCCTGAACCTTCCAGGTCCAAACCCTCTCTTAAACTTTCCTTTCTCAAGTGTTAATTTATTTCTATTGTTTAAAAAGTAATTTTACTTCAGCAAGTGTATCCAATTCCTTGCAGTCAAAAAAAGAAAAAGGAAAAAGCCCTGGCCAGTACAGCAGACTCGATAATCTCTGAGACTCCCTCAGTACTGCGTCCCCTCTGGGTGGAGCCTGGCCGGAGGAGATGAGGGTGCTGGGTGCGGTCAGATGTTTAGGGAGCTGCTGAACAGCCCCGTCCTTGTTTCTCTTCCTTCGTTATCCCTGGAGAGGGCAACCCCAGAACAGTGAGAGGAGAGCCCGCAGCGGGAAGAGTTTCCTTCCTAATTGATCTGTTTGTATTTTTTTTTTATTGTAGTGTCCATTTTATCAATGTGTATTTTTACTAGGAAATCACCCATTTCCTGTACGTTTCCTTTTTGATGCAATAGGTTTCTCTTATTTTTAATTTCTCCTCTCTCTCTAGTTTTTTTACAGAATTGTCACAGTTAATAAACAAATATTGATGCGTAATTATTAACTAGAATCCTATTTCATTCGAGTTCCTGCGTTCACAGCTCGGTGTCTGTGCCAGTGCTTCTGTCTCTCACAGCCCTCGGTGACCGACCAGAGAGGTGAGTGCTGACCGCGGGGAACCCGATTACTGAATTAGGTGCTATGATAGGAAATGAGGCCAGGAGAGAAACGGGACTGATAAAGAGTCTCGATGCTGTGCCGATGATAGAGACTTATTCTCTAGGCCATGGGGACCTGTGGGCAGTTCTGTGCACAGGAAGTGACAGGATCAGATCCCTAACTCAAAAAGACCAAAGTGGTCACAAGTGTGGAGGTCGGACTGGAAGAGAGAGAGACAGGAAGCAGGGAGGCCAATCAGAAGACTGGTGAGAGGTGGCGCTGGTCTGAGCTGAGTCAGGGACCATGAGTTTGGAGAGGACCAGGGGTATGAAGTCCAGAGAGGGGCTGTGGTTATTGCTGTCCTGAGAATAAAGCTAGCACAGATGCTGGAGTCAGGACTTAGGGAGACTTTGGCTATTTGAACATGAGTAGGAGAGCTCATTCTTCGAATAGACTATTTGCTAAATTCTTAATTTATCTGACTCTAAGAAGGTAAATAAAGGCCTAAGAAGAGAAGAAGGAGGGAGAGTGAGTGCTGACCTCATGTTGGGCAGGAGCTGACATGCACCCCCTCACTGAACCTCACGTCCACCCTGAGAGAGACCGGTTATCCTCATCCAAAGGTCGAGGAGTCTTTGCCTTAAGCCATGCAGCTAGGAAGCGATGTGGCCAGAAGTCAGCTCTGCACCTGTCTGGGGCACAAGCAGTCCTCCATAAGGAAACTGCCACCACATACTCCATTCTGAGCAGCCAGGAAGCTCTTGTCAGCTGAGACCTCAGAGGAAAGGAACATGGACAGAAGCAGATCGGTGATCCAGACAGAAAACAGGTTTTCAAATGCCAGAGAACAAACAAGGTATAGAAGTGAGGAAGTCATTGTTATAGAGATCTGGTGTTGGTTGTACTCCTGTGAAGGGCCAGGGCACCTCCTTTTTCCCTACCTGTCCCCATCCCCAGCTTCCCACTCAAGTCCCAACACAAAACCCAGCTTGGTTGAGAGTATGGAAAGCTGGACCATTAGGTTATGTGCAGATATTCTTCCAATAGAGTGATTAAGGTTCAACCCAAAGCTGCAAGGACTATTTGGATTACTCTATTTGTCCAGGATCCTGTGTGAGAGTAGGATCCTGTACTCAGAACTATGTTAGAATCAGTCTTCAGTTTAAATACCTGGTAAATGGAGATAAGTTTTCTTTCGCATCTGGCAAATGGAAGCAGTAGGTTGGATGAGACATGTGAAGGACCTAAAACAGGATTTATTGCAAAGTGAACTTAGTACCTAGGATCTGGATTCCAAGTTTAATGAGTGGGCAGAGCCCTTAAGACAGGGAAACGCTCTTCTTTGCTGCCATCTCGTGTACATTTTCGGAATAACACCCATGTATGTCATGATGAAAAGCTATTGTCAGCTGCCATCTCGTGGACATCTTGGGGATAATACCAGTGTGTATGTCAAAAAGTTATTCTCTGTTGCCATCTGGTGGGCATTTTAAACATAACACAAGAGTGCATGTCATAAAAAGTTATTTATTCTCTTCTGTCATCTTGTGGGCATCTTGAGAATAACACTCGAATGTATGTCATCATGAAAAGATATTCTCTGATAACATCTGGTGGGCATTTCGAAAATAACATCCAAGTGTATGTCATCATAAAAAGTTAATCTCTACTGCCATCTCATGTGCAGATTTTGAATAACACCCGAAAGTGTGTCATTACGAAAACTTATTCTCTACTACTAATTTGTGTGCATCCTAAAATAACACCCAAATGTATGTCATGAAAGGTCATTCTCTGCTGTTATCTCGTGTGCATCTTGGAAATAACGCCGAATAATGTACATCATGAAGTCCTCTCTACTGCCATCTCATGTACATTTTAGTACGCTTGAGTATATGTCATCATGAAAAGTAATTCTGTGCTGCTGTCTTGTGGGCATATTGGGAATAACGTCTGAGTGTTTGTCATCACGAAATGTTATTCTTTGCTGCCATCTCCTGAGCATCTCAGGAATAACACCCAGTATACATCACGAAGTTTTTTCTGCTGCCATCTCGTGGGCTTTTTGAAAATTATGTTCCAGTGTAATTTGTCATGAAAGTTTTTTTCTGATGTTATCTTGTGGGCTTTTGGAAAGTAATACGTGCGTGTATGTCATCACAAAAATTTAATCTCTGCTACTATCTCGTGTTCATTTAGAAAATAATATGGGAGGGTATATTCTGAAAAGTTATCTGTGTTGCCACCTCTTGTATGTTTAGAGAATAACACCTGAGTGCATGTCATAAAAAAAGTTATTGTCTGCTGTCAACTCATGTGCATTTCGAAAAGGAAACCTGAATTTATGTCATCGTGAAACGTTATCCTCTGCTGCCAACTCTTGTATATTTAGAAGTACACCCATGTGTTTGTCATCATGAAATGTTATTCTTTGCTGTCATCTCATGTGCATCTCGGGAATAAATGCTCAATGTACATTATAATAAGTTGTCTGCTGCCATTTTGTAGGCATCTCAGGCAAAACACCAGAGTGTATGTCATGAAAAGTTATTCTCTGCTGTTATCGTGTATGTATCTGGGAAATAACTCTGAAAGTATGTCATGAAGTTCTTCTCTACTGCCAGCTCATGTACATTTTGAGAATACACATGAGCGTATGTCATCAAGAAAAGTAATTCTCTGCTTGATCTTGTGGGCATACTGGGAATAACACTGGAGTGTTTGTAGTCATGAATTGTTATTCTTTGCTGCTGTCTCATGTGTATCTCAGGAATGAGACCTGAAGTCATGAAGAGATTTTTTTCTGCCACCATATTGTGTTCTTTTTGAAAATTTTACTTTTGTGCATGTCATCATGAAAACTTAATTGTTCTTCTGTTATCTTGTAGGCTTTTTGAAAATAACATTTGAGTGTATGTCATCATGAAACTTGTTCTCTTCTGTCATCTTGTGAGCATTTTGGGACTAACTCGAGTGTATGTCATAAAAGGTTATTCTTGCTGCCATCTCCTGTGCATCTTGGGGATAACACAGGAGTGTGCATCATGAAAAATTTTTCTCTGTTGCCATCTCGTGTGTATTTTCGAAAATAACACCCAAGAGCATGTCGTCATGAAACCTTTTTCTATGCTGCTGTTTTCATGTGCATCTTGGGGAAAACACAGGAGGGCTAATCATGAAAAGTTATTCTCTGCTGTTATCTTGGCGTACATTTTAAAAATAAGACCCAAGTGTATGTTATCATAAAAAAATATTTTCTGCTGCCATCTGGTGGGCATTTGGGGAGTAACACCCAAGTATGGATCATCCTAAATATTCATTTTCTACCCTCATCTAGTGTGCATGTTGAGAATAACACCAGAGTATAAATAATAAAATTTATTCTTTGCTGCTATCTGGTGTTCATTTTAGGAATAACAAACGAGCGTTTGTCATTATGAATATTCATTCTCTGCAGCCATCTGGTGGGTATTTTGGGAATAACACCACAGTGCAAGTCATGAAAAATTGTTCTCTTCTGCCATCTCCTGGGCATTTTGAAAATGACGCCCAACAGCCTGTATTATAAAGTATTTCTCTGTTGACACTTTTGTGTGCATCTTTGGAGAAACACAGGATGGCATACCATGAAAAGTTATTCTCTGCTGCCATCTGGTGGACGTTTTAGTACTAACAACCACAGTCCATGTCTTTACTTTTTTTTTTTTTAGGTTGCTATCACATGTGCATTTTGAAATTAACCCTCCAGGGCCTGTCATTATGAAAAGTTTTTCTCGGCCACCATTTCAGTTGCATCTTGGGACAAACACAGGAGCACATGTCACAAAAAGTTAGACTCTGCTGCTCTCTGGTTGTATTTCGGGAAAAACACCTGAGTGTAGGTCCTGTGTGTTCTCTGCTGCCATCTGGTGGGCAATTTGGGGTATAACACGGCAGCACACATCATAAAAAGTTCATTGCGCTGCATTATCGTAGGAATTTTGAAAATAACATACGCGGTCAAGTCCTTACAAAAAGTTTTTGTCTGATGCCATTTTCATGTGCATCTTGGGAAAAACACAGACATACATGTCATGAATTGATTCTCTGCGGCCGTCTAGTGGGCATTTTGGGTATAACACCACCGCCCATGTTATAAACAGTTAATTGTGCTATCATGCAGTTTTAAAATAACACCAAAGGGCATATTTCTAAGCAATATTTTGGTCCGTGGTTATTTCGTGCGCATGTAGGAAATAACACAGGAGTGCATGTCATGAAAATTATTCTCTGCTGCTATCTTGTGAGCAATTTGATGATAGCACACAAATGTGTCTGTGTAAGTTTTTTCTCCTGCCATCTGGTGGGCATTTTAGGAATGACACCTGAGTGAAGGTCATCATGAAAATTCATTTTCTGTCCTAATCTTTGTGCATCTTGGGAATAGCACCAGACTGTAAGTAATAAAGACATGTTATCTGCTGCCATCTAGTGTATATATTAGTAATAACGCCTGAATGTTTGACATCATGAATATTCATTCTCTGCTGCAATCTGGTGGGCATTTTGAAAATAACACCCAGTTGTATGTCATCCTATTCATTTTCAGCTGCCATTTGGCGATAATTCTGATTATAACACCACAGTGCATGACATAAATTTTTTTTTCTGCCCCTATCTTATGTGCATTCTGAAAATAAACTCAAGAGAATATTTTTTTGAAGTTTTTGTATGCTGTCATTTTGTGTGCATCTTGAGAAAGACACAGGAGTGCATGTTATGAAGTGATCATCTGCTGCCATTTCTTGGGCATTTTGGGAACAACACCCATGTGTTTGTCAACAGAAAAATTATTTTCTGTCTATGGCCATGCTACTACCCGGAACAAGCCCGATCCCGTCTGATTTCGTGCACATTTTGAAAATAACACCCAGGGGCATATCATCTAAAAATTTACTTTCTGCTGCCATCTGCTTGGCATTTGGGAATGACACTGGAGTGTAGAACATCATGAAAATTAATTCTCTGGCCCCATCTTACCTGCATCGAGGGAATTTGACCAGCGTATTTAAAAAACTTATTCTCTGCTGCCATCTGGTGGGCAATTTGGGAATAAGACAACAGTACATGTCACGAAAAGTTATTTCTGCTGCTATCTCATGTGCATTCTGAAAATCAACGCAAGGGCATGCCGTTATAAAAAGTTGTTTTCTGCTGCCGTCTCATGGGCATTTTGAAAAAAACACTTAAGTATATGTCTTCATGAAAATATATTTTTCTCTCTCATCTATTGTGCATCTTGGAATCACACCAGAGTGTAATTAAATGTTCTCTGCTGCCATCTGGCGGGCATTTTAAGAATGACATTGAATGTTTGACATGAATATTCGTTCTCTGCTATAATTATCTGGTGGGTATTTTGTGTATGACAGATAAGTGCCTGTTGGGCATGATGTTATGAAATTTTTATCTCTGCTGCCTTTTAGTGTTAATCTTGGAGTGCCTGTCATGAAAATTTTTCTGTTGCCATCTTGTGGGTATTTTGAAGATGACTCCCACAAGTAAGTCTGCATAAAAATTTATTTTCCACCCTGATATATTGTGCATCTTGAGAATTACACAGTATATAAATAATAAAAAGTTATTATCTGCTGCCATATGGTGTGCATTTTAGGATTAACACCCACTTGTTCTCATCATGAATATTCATTGTTGCGTTTGGTGTGCATTTTGGCACAAATACCACAATGTATGTCATGAAAAGATATTTCAGCTGCTATCTCATGTACATTTTACAAATGACACCCGAGGGTATGTTGTCATGAAATATTTTGTCTGCTGCCTTTCAGAATGCATCTTGGGAAAAACAAGGAGTGCATGCCATGACAAAATTGTTCCCTGATGCCATCACGTGGGCATTTTGAAAATAACAGCCAGATGTACGTCATCATAAAATTTGTTTTCTGCTGTCATCTGGTGGGCATTTTGGGAATAAAACTCGTGTGTATGTCATCATGAAAATTCGTTTTCTGCCCTCATCCTGAGTGCATTTTGGGAATTCTACCAGAGTGTAATTAAACCAGTTATTCTCTGCTGCCATCCGGTCGGCATTTTTGGAAAAGAGCCCAGTGTTTGTCATCATGAACTATTATTCTCAGCCGCCATCTGGTGGGTACTTTGGGAATAGCACCACAGATAATGTCATAAAATGTTATTTGGGCTGCAATCTCATGTGCATTCTGAAAATAAACCCAAAGGAATGTCGTTATGAAAAGTGTTTGTCTACTGCTATATCTTGTGCATCTTGGGAAAAACACAGGAGAGCATTTCATGAAGTGATTCTCCGCTGCCATCTCGTGTGCATTTTGAAAATACACTCAAGTATTTGTCTGCATAAAATATTAATTTATACTGCCATCTGTTGGGCATTTGGGGAATAACACCACAGTGCATGTCATAAAATGTTATTTCTGCTATCTCTTGTGCGTTTGGAAAATAAACCCAAGGGCATGTCGTTTAGAAAAGTTTTAGTTTGCTGCCATCTCATGTGCATCTTGGGAATAACACGAGACTGCATGTCATGAAGTGATTTTCTGCTGCCATTTTGTGCATATTTTGTAAATTATTTCCCGCTACCATTTTGGACATCTATGGACATCTTTGGAATAACACGCAAGTGTATGCCATCATAAAAATATATTTTCCTCTCTCATGTATCATCTATCTTGGAATAATAGAGTGTAATTAAATGTTATTCTCTGCTGCCCTCTTGTGGGAATTTTAAGAATAACACCCGACTGTCATAATTATTCATACTCTGCTGCCATCTGGTAGGCATTTAGGGAATAACACCACAGTGAAAAGAAATATCATGAAAAGATATTTCTGCTGCTATATGTGTATGTTGAAAATAACACCCAAGGGCATGATGTTTTGAATTTTTGCCCTGATCCCATTTTTTGTGAATCTTGGGGTGAACCAGGAGTACATGTCATGAAAAATTATTTTCTTCAGCCATCTCGTGGGCATTTCGAACATAACACCCGGGTGTAGGTCATCATGAATATTTATCCTTTGCTGCCATCCTGTAGACATTATGGGAATAACACACGAGTGTATGCCATCATGAAACTGTATTTTCTGGTCTCATATACTGTGCATCCTGTGAATATAATAGCTGAGTGTAAATAATAAAAACTTGTTTTGTGCTGCCATCTGGTGGGCATTTTGGGAATAACATCACAGTCTATATCATGAAAACTTATTTCTGCTGCTATATCTCATGTGCATTTAGAAAATAACACCCCAGGGTATATCGTTATGATTTTTTTCTCTGCTCCCATTTCGTGTGAATCTTGAGGATAACACAGTAGTGCAAGTCATGAAAATTGTTCTCTGCTACCATCGCGTGGACTTTTTGAAAATTACTTCTTGGTGTATTTCATCAACAAATATTTTCCGTTGCCATATGGTGGGAATTCTGAGAATAAAACTTTACTGTAGG